GCGCTTAAAAATTCTTACAAGTCTTACAGGAATATGTTACGAGTCTTACGATTCTGCTTAGAATTTAGGCAAAAGTAAATAATGTAAACATTATTTTTACCATGTTAACAATATAACAATAGGCAAAGAAGAGATCTGTTTTCTGTGGCTGAACTGTGTATACTTTTGAAACTTAAAGTGAGATAGGTATATGTTTGTCAAAAGCGAGAAAGAGAGTTCTAGTAATTTTTACGAATAAGATTAAGACAGTGCAGTGGAGTAATCACTATTTTTTACTTGCAAATGTTGTAATAATCAAAAGTAAACAATCTTTTACTAATTCTACATAAAAGCACTGCAGAAGTAATAATTAAATTTCTTTGTTAGAATGATTTTCTGTAAATAAAAGCGTAACGTAAAAACTTAATTTTTTCAAAGCCTCGTGTCCACGATGCTTATAGAAATCGGTCCGAGATCTGGGACAGAAAAATTAATAAATTACATTTGAATAATTCGGTGACACGACCAATACGAGATCGGTCAATTATTTCTCCACCCGAGATCTCAGACTGATTTCTAGCATTGTGGATACAAGGCTTAAGAGATACGAACCACTGAGATCCCGAGAATCCGTCGACGAACAAACTGCGATGACTCAATCGAAGGTTAGATCTTCTCTCTACGATTTATTCGTTCTCGATTTTCTCGACACGTCTGATGCGTTGACTCACGCACGCTTCTCGCGTGCGGAATTCACGAAAAAAATCCGCGGGAACGATCACATCGAGATTTCGGGACTAAACGCGACACGACATGACGCGGCGCGTTGCGTTGCGCGGCTGACGTCAGGTGACACTGTGGAGTCAAAGCACAAACAAACGCTGGCGACGAACGAAGCGGCAAGCAAGCAAAAAAGTAAACAAACGAGTCCATTATCCGGTCGTTGAAGAATTTATCACAAAAATATCACGTTACCACATAAAATACAGGGTGTAATACTGAAATAACGCCCACTAATCATACAGGGCTATTCCTAATAAAAAACTAAGTCGAAAAGTCCTCTACCATTTTGCAATTTTCGCAAAATAGTTAACGAGATATTAATTCCTAAATATTGCCGAATAAACGGATAAAATCGATGTATAGGACAATTTTGAGACATCTTTCCGTGTTCTATGTGAAATATTTCGAAGATTTTTCTTAAAATACTCTTAAAGATATCTTAAAGCTGTCTTATACGTCGATTTTAGACATTTTGCTCATTGGGTCAACTAAAAAAAAATATTACGAAAATTGCAAAATGGTATATAGAGGACTTTTCGTCTCAGTTTTTTATTAGGAATAGCACTGTATGATTAGTGGACGTTATTTCAGTCACACCTTGTATTATAATATAAAGTACTCGTTTTAACAACTAATAATTAACTATCGTCACATAACCGCGCAGCGCAATTAATTAAAATACCAATTAAAATTGTAATAAATTGTTATACGATCAAATAAGGTATAAATAAATTAATTAATATTTTACTCATTGTCTATTTATATATTATCATGTTCGAGCACGTCGCAATAATTAAGCATCAAACTTCAATTTCGATTTGAGTGCATGTCGCGCGCGTGTCTATTTTTTACTCGACTCGCGTAGTAAGTTGCTAACTTCGCGTTGCCGCAAAACGAGTTACGAGATCTCAGATGGTCAGATCGAACGTCGGACCCAAACGTCTCGGCTACCACTTCACGTTTCTCCAATCGTGAACGAACTTGTGATCGAGTATCGAAAGTGTCGCGATGAGTGACTGTCGTTCTTGTCGCGAATTTCGAGTGTCAAAGTTGGACACTCGTTCAAAGAACATGTTGGAGTATGCGACGTGAACAAACCTAAAACAATGGGTAACTTGCCGGACGCGCTCGCGAGTGCAATTAGCCACGTTTTCCTGCGATTTTCTTCCAAGCGGCAGTGAACGACGAGCGTGGAATATCCTGTATAAGTAATGGAGTGACGAGGAACGAAAGACAGAAGGGAACACAAGATATATCAGGATGCACAGGAGTATATCAGGAGTTTGAGTGGCAAGGGTAACAGCTCGTTTACATCGCGACTGGTGAGTAATTGTATATACATTTTGCCATAATGGGCCGTCTACAATAAGATTAATAGGAGTAATGGCTACGTTTACACCGTGTATTTAGGTCGCGGCCTATACAATAGATGTCCTTGTTTATCCTGTATATTAAACAAAGACACCTATCGTATAGGTCGCGAACTAAGCGCACGGTGTAAACGTAGCCAATATTAAGTGCTTTCTATTTGATGGTACAGTCAACACAAGTTTTTTATTACTCTCTGAATGACAAAGATAGAATGATATTTGTGTCGACTTGAATAGGTTCGACCTGATCTGATTCTTATATCAGAATTCTTTATCAGAACCTGACTATGCATTAAGGATAGCCTGCTAGAGGCCTTTAAAGATCCATAGCAGGCTATCCCCAGTGTAAAATCAGGTCTTAATGTAGAATCCTGATAGGGGCCTGAACAGACAGTGGCTACGTTTACACCGTGCGCTTAGTCCGCGACCTAGACGATAGGTGTCTTTGGCTACGGTTACACCGTGCATTTAGGCCGCGGCCTATA